AAAAGGTTTTTAAAACAAAAAAGGATGTTGTACAAAACTACTTTTTAATTCTCACCTATACTGTGGTGTGTGATGAAAAATGTGATGGAAATTTCTCTTCTTCTTTTTCAGATTTTACATGATTCGTGGGTATAATACTCTCATTTAAAAAAAATGTGTCAGTCGTTGCATCCTTACGAGCTGGCTCGAAGAAACTAGAGCATAATATAGAAAATAAAATATTTTAAAGTGCAAAAAGAATTTATTAATACTATATATTATAGTTTATTGGACCCCAAAGATGTGTTAAATATAATAAACAAAACAAACCTGGTTAGAGAGAGTTAATCACAGCAAATTGAAAATTGTAACAGGACTTCATTAAAACCACCTTATTAACATCGTTAAAGAGTAAACCAGAAATCTTGTAGTGCTTTACCTCGTTATACGTGTTGAGCTTAGCAAAGGAGTAGAATGTATATTTTGTTTTTTATTAGAAACAGATTTTGAAACATCTTTTGGACTCGCTGCCTCAGATTCTTTGTTTTTGTTTATAAGAGCTTGTACTTTTGACATCAAATCTTTAGAAAAAGATGTAGATTCAGCATTGGCTGCTACTTTTGATAGATTTATATCTGAGAGTCTGAAAAAAGGAGGTGTTCTGCAATTTGAAGTTTATGAGATATGTTCTGGTAAATTGGAATCTGGCTTAGGAATTTCGGATAATTCTTTTTATTAAGTAGACATTGTTGTTTGTATACATTTAAGATTAATAGATAAATAATAAACTTCTAATTTCTGATTGCGAATCAACATTCAAGTATAATCAAACATTGTTGCCTTGATTGTTCATTTGCGGAATAGAATATATATATATAATTCTATAATAATACATACTTCAAACTAAACTTGCTATCATTTTACTTCTCTCATTAGTATACACAACAGATATTTACCAAAAATATAATTGAATCCAAAAAAGAAAACATGAAGTCTGATTGGATATCGCAATAATACTTTGTATACAAGTTTTTACCTCATCCTTTTTTCTCTGGGTTTATGGTGAAATATTATTTCATCTTCCCCATCAAGAGATGACCTTAAAATAAAACCGAAACTATTACTGAAAAAATTGTTATTGTTACATTAGACACATATAGTATTATATTATTTGATACTGATTACAACTCTCCGACTATCAAACTCTATACCTAAGATTTTTACTAACATAAAACTTGTCTCATGATAATCTAAGCAAACACTATCAGATTCTAATGATAGTGTTACAAATCTGCCAATTGTTGTAACTATTCTACTTTCATCAATAAAATGAGCACTAAGTATAAAAAGTAAGTGGGCTAGTAGGATATGCTAGGAGTTTGCACCACACACTAACAGCATTTAAAATATCTGAAATGAATGCTTGTATACATCCAAAAATATTTAAAAATCATTCTGTAAAAGATAAAATATATATTATTCAATCATGTGTGAGCATTACCATTTAGAAGAATCATCAGCCTTTTGTATCGTAGGAATCGGAGTCTTTTTGAATTTCTCAACATCTGCTCGATTTTCTTGGTCAACAACTGCAGCAACCGGTGCTGGACTGAGAATATCACAATTCAGATTTTGTAGATGAGATGTGATAGCGTAAAATATTTAATAGGAAACAAAACATTTTATTAAGATTTCATAGATTCAACTTATAGATAAGATTAGACTTCATGCTTCAGATACATAATGAAAAATAGCTCAGAATATATAAAATTGTACCTTTCTGTTTTGTTACTGTTTTTCTCTTGTACTTTGTTAACATCTACAAGTATAGTTGGATGAGTCTGACGTAGAGCAACACGTACTGTTTTTTTGATAGACTGTTGTTTCAGAACATCATTTATTAATCCTTTGGGAGTAGGTAAAAATTCTGGGGACTTATCAGAAATTGCTGATTCGGTAGATTTTCCATAATTTTAGCTTGCTGCAATTAGATAATAATGTTTGTTAAAGATTTGTACGCTAACAGACCAGTGATAATACTTGCAGGAATAAGATTTCAAAAAGTCACTATCATAAAATTGTAAAAAATTAGTTCTATCTGTCCATTGGTTGTTATACCAATACAGCCGACGAACCAAAAGTTTGATACATTCGTATATTTTCAGTGTGTTTTTATGGCCCAACTCATTTAATGAGGTTTGTTTTTTTTCATGTGTGCTGGTGAGCGGGCACATGATATTTATTATGTTTTAAACTTTTTGAAGATTTTGCTCTCTCTACGGAATTTTTAATTTCTGTTTATTATGGAGTATTCAAAAAAAAACTATTTATCTAAAATTGAATTGGCACTTTCATGCATCACATAAAATTCGTTTTCGCGCCATAATTTCTGATTTAATTGGGAAATGCTTATCAACCAATACCTGGTATTCATAGATATCCTGTTTGATCGTCTATGCCTGGAATCAGTATTATGAACAGGTCTTCCTGCAGGACGCCGAATTGTTTCCACTGGTTTCACATGTTGCAACATCAAACTAAAGAGAGTTCTTGGAGTCTCAGCATCTTCACTCTTGCTCTCCATGGTCAGATGATGGGGGATATATACCCAGAACAGAATTAGCAAGCGATAAATAGTGTAATAACTATTTGTGTGTATTATGGAGTTTGCAAAATAAACTATCTAGCTCTATTTTAGTATACAACAATTATACTGTCTGTCTATGCAATTAGAAAAAAACATTTGGAATTTTGCAATATGCCAAGTACTTCAATGCATTCTTATATTTAAACCAAGCATGTATATTTTGAATTTGATGGTTTCACTGTGTCTGAATGTGGACTATACAATAATTACTGTACAGAATAAATAAGGATGAATAAATATTAAGATAGGATTTACATATTTATCCCGGCAGCCCGGGGGAGAGGAAAGAATAAGGCGACTAAACCATATGCGAACCAAGGCTTCTCGTCCAGTTACCATTCCATGTCGGGTATGGGATTAGTTAGTTATTTCTTTTCGCAAGCATGGACTTGATGGTGGAGGAAGTTACCTACCTTACGGCGGCCAGAGGCCCAGCAATCCTCTCGCACAAGATTCGACCCACGCAAAGTAATCAGAGGTGAGGTGGCGAGCGTATTCCTAACGCTTAGCACGATGACTGAATGAGCCACAACGCCACGCCAGATATATAAACAACAAAAGATATACCCTATATATAATCACCGAAACTGCAGAGTTACGGTACTGCACAATGTACATTTTTTCCAATAATCTGTGGTACGATACGGTACCGGTATCCAATTACTTTATGTTTATATTTATCAATTAGTTACATTGAGTTTCTGCATCCATGATCCATCAGATCAAGGCAACACAGTAATCATTTCAGGCGCTGAAATTTTTAAAAATCGCGCAAATTATGCTGTTTGTTTATTTTTTATTTAAACCACGATAATGCAACTACCGTGGCGCGAAGCCTCAGTCACTGCCTTACACGCCCACCGCCCACCGGGGAGAATAAAAATAAACTATATATCTATGTTTTAATGCTTTTACAATTTTTGAGTTTTTCAACAGGGAAATGCTTCTCCGACCCTTGACCCCAAAAAACTTTCCCCATGAGAAGTGCGCCACACCGCCGAGCCATATTTATTTTTCAATTTATTCACCTTTTGTCACGAACATTGAAATAATATTGTTTATATTATGATTTATCGTATCAATGTGAATAGTTGTGAAATCTTAAAATATTCGGTTACCAGTCCAAGTACCGGTGTGAGAATAGTTTACAAGTTTTTTTAAGAGGCACGGACTTGTGGAGGATAAAGTCGTGAGCGACCGCTGATATGTCGTAACTGGAGTCGTCTTACAATTTCGAGTTATCGCTTCGAGTTTTTACGATTTCACCAAAGTTTTTCGAATGGGCGTTCTTGACAGGTTTCTTGATATTATTGTTAGTGTAAGGAGAGGTTATTTACCTAGTATCAATTCACCGTATAAATATATGCCCGTTTTCTTTCTGGCTGGAGCTTGCATGGAATGGTTCATGATCAACGTGCCTGCAGCTGGAGGAGAAACTTTTTGTGAGTACGGTAATAGGCCATACCGGTACCGGTACTGTTATAGGCTATCTATATTATTTGAATTACAACAATAAGTGAAGTACAAAATACATACAGATTGTAGGTTTCCCGCCACGTAAAGCAAGGAGAAACTAGTCGTGGTTTGCAATATTGAGACGCCTTACCGACTTTCCTTTCTCCCAGGATAAATATGTAAATTCTAGCAGTTCCATATGTGGCTAAAGGACCAGAAATTTAATTTCTTATTTCAGTTTAGCAGTTGTAGGAAACTGGAAAACAGTTTTGAGATTATGTCACTACCTATTTTTAATTGAGAAATTTGTTCATGTAAAATTTATTTGAATAACCAGTAATTGCCCTAATTTGACTTTCTTCATATATTCAACCACATACTGAAACTGGGAATATATTTGAATAGATTGTTGCCGTAATTTCGAATTACAGAAAATCTATCAATGAATTAGAAACCAAAGTTTGAACCTAAATTTTTGATTGACAGTGACAGTGAAGCCAAATTGATTCTGTAATTGCACCATAATGTATATAATGTAATGTATGTATTTCCTAGATGACGTCTGGAGAAGAAACCAAGCTAACAAAATTTGAATCAAGTATTGAAGAATCTGATCAAAATTTCCAGAATAAATAAATAATAAGTAAAATCTAAAATGCCATATGGACATTCATGGTCATATTTTATCCGTTATATGTTTTCTGCTGCTCTCTGCACTGCCGCTGGAAGTCAGACTGTTCATATGATTTATCGGCCTGATACATCAATACCAGATGGGCCAGTGAAGAAAGGGGAATTGCATACTGAGATTTTTGTATCACAAAAGCCTGACTGAAGACGAGATCCAGCTTCATTTTGAGACCGTAAAATGAATAGAATAACAATGCGCTATCAGCTCACAATGAGATTTCATGCTTTGTTTGTGTGCCTTGTATTTATTGATTGTGTTGTTTCATTTGAATAAGTATTTCATAAAATATTTGAAATTTAGATCTGGAGCATTTTTTAATCATTCAGCTAAAACACTGGTGAAAATCATGGCTGACCAACAGTTAACCATTAATATCATTAATCGGACCCAGTACATTGAATGACTGGTTCAGGGGACAGGCAAAATATTGTGTCCCTCCCTGCTGTTGGACAAATTTTTTCACAACCACATACATACATTTTGATTCAATTTTAAACTTCTTTAAATGTACCGGACTATCCTGTAGCGTATACTATCTGCCTCACAATGTCTGTAAACAGAATTGAATCAGTATTTAACAATATTTGCTGCCTCATAAAAAAATCAACAACTCAAGTCGAACCATGGAGAAGAAGACCCCTAACATGCATTTCAACTATGCTTCCGATGTTTAAACCTTTGTCAAACTAAATTTAACTATTTTTTAAGAAATTTATGTACAATCAGCAAAAAAAATACTGCAAAGTGAGGTAATTCCAGAAATTTATGTACAATCGACAAAAGAAATACTGCAAAGTGAAAGAATTAGATATGAAATGGAAAGCAATTCAATAATGGCAGTAAAAATAATTCCTAAAAAAATGTTCATGATTGATATAAAATATCTTTATTCATCAGAATGGAAACAATTCCTCCTTTTGATTTCCAATGGGAAGTTTTCTTCGTTTCATGTGCTTAGACATTCTTCTTGCTACTTCAATTCTTTTTGCTTGCCATGCAGCACTAGATTCAGTGTTGTTATTTTGATCAGCAGATCCCTGAAAATATTGAAATGTGTATAAGTCACCACCAACCCCGTGGCAGTTAAATTTCGTAGTAAAGCAGCACAGTAGCCAGATTTGAAAAATCTTATGGATGAGTGGGATCACAGATAGTCTTTTGTGTAAACATACACATGTGTAATGCTTTATATATATTAGCTACTGGCGACAGGGAATAAATCTCATATGTATTGGAAGTTGCCAAATGAAAATACCAGAGTCTAGTCAAGTTTATTTTTTCCAACCAGTGAAAAATCGAGCACAAAATACAAGAAAATGATAATTACACAGATTTACTGGAGATGGGAAGTCGCGGGAAACCAAAGCTGGTTATCGAGCAACGACACCCAAGGTCCATTTATGTGATTGAAATTTTCAATTTACTGTCTTTGACGGTGAGTACCGAACAAGTTATCCAACTAACATCACTCACTAGAAGTGGTTGATTTCTAGAGTGAAAGGCCAAAAGATCGACTGCTGGACCAATTCAGTTGAATTAATTGAAGTGGTGTTCCAAATATTATATACTCAGTTAAGATTGTTTTTGAGCCAAGAAGAAATCTAATCGTGCAAGAATTTCAATAGAGATAGATAACTATTAGGAATTGTATTAAAAATGAGATCAGTAAGATCTCAATAACAATGTTCAATTTGTTGCAACCTTTTCCGTGCTCATTGTTCCCAAATAAGCATATTTTCTTTTCACTCTTTCTTTTGCTAACATGGCTTTTATAAAAAATTTCCAATGTCCGTAAACACGTTTATCCTTTTTCTCTCTCTCCCGTTCTGCAGCATGAAGCTGGTCTTCTTTCCATGCTTCTTCTAGTGTTTCTGCATACTCGATACAGGCGATATAGCCATCCGTGCTGTGGAAGATATTGGTTGCAAATTATTAATAGAGAGATAATATAGGCAACAGCTCTGCACACTCGAATAGCATAACCAGTGGTAAGGTTCCATTACATTTGAACCCACGACAATTGCACCTGCATACTATTGCATATTTTTTTTACGGATATTTGAACATGTACTAACCCTATCCCATGGATTTTAGCAACCTCATATAGGTTGAACCCGCAGATATACGGGTTCAAATGTACGGTCACCCGGTGGTAAGACCGCAGGCACATTTCAAACTTCAAAACGGCAGGATGCTAGAACGGTCATCTTAAGTACATTGCCCTTGGTTAAAAATTACAGTTAAGTATAGCACATTACAGAGTCTCCAAATGTATGGGTTCAAATGTACGGTCACCCAGTGGTAAAACCGCAGGCACATTTCAAACTTCGGAACGGCAAGATGCTAAAACAGCGATCTTAAGTACATTGCCCTTAGCTAAAAATCACAGTTCAGTATAGCACATTACCGAGTCTCAAAGAGGCCTAACCGATGGAAAGACCACAGACATAATTCAAACTAGCAGGCTTGAATTACAATCTTCAGAACATGGTCCTTAGTTGAAAAAATATTTCAGAATAGGGTATTACAGAAAATAGGTTCTTTGAGCACGTCTAAAGAGACTAAGGTAACAGTTGAAAGAACAAATGTATCCAATGGACTTACACAGTATGTGGATATCCATTATGTGTGTCGAAACCGATAACAGCTAATGCAACATCAATATCCAACTTTCGAGCGACTTTGTTTAGCCCAGGCAGACGTAACTGAACGCAACCAATAGGTAACATCTCTGGCTGGAACAAATCAACATTACCAAATTGGTTTTTCGGCACCTGTTTAATATAGTATAATATTAATAACATATTCCAGGACTTCACATTTCATTCATTTAACATCGGAATAAATGACTTCACCACTTCGTAGTACTCGAATGCTTTCAATATCAATAATAAAAGAGTGTACATATGAATCATTTTGTTGAACTATTGTTGTTGGTGTGGTGATTGTTATTCTTTTGAGGGAAAAATGCTGTTCATGGCAACTAATGGATCGATCAATTTTAATATTTCTGTACCCAAATATGGTCGTTACTTTTTTTTTTTTCAATTTCCTTAGATTCCTATGGTTATGGCTAGGCTTGCACGTAATTTACGGAATTATTTCGAGTTACGGAAGCGAAGTTACGGATTACGTAAAGTCGTAATTATTGGTCGAGCGCTTTCGCGATTGAAACGAGCTCTCTTCAGAGCAGTCAATTCCGTCGATTGTAAAAAATTAAAGTTTAAGTAAAAGAAGTTAGAGTTCCATTACTCGCAGCCGTTTTTCTCTCTCTTGTTAGGCAGATGGGAAGGCATAACGCGTCATTTACTAACCTATTATCAACTTATCTAGGATGGCCAATGTACATATTAACCGTAGATAAGGAATAGAATTGTGTTGAGAGTTGAGACCGATGGAGGTCAACACACCTGGTTTCAACTTCTTCGGGTGAAATGACTAAAGAATGTAAGAGATCAACTTATAAAACATGGTCTATTTGTAAATGCCGTGTTAATTAATGCCGCGCTTATCAAACAGCAATATAAAGACGGAAGAGAAATTGCGTAATGAACCAACGCAACTTAGTCTTTTCGGCATCGGTAAAGCGACTCAGACGGCAGAGAAACAACAATACGACAGGATTTCCCGTGTTTATTCTGCGCGAGATCCATTTTCTATTACAAAATCTTGATGTTCTGTTACCGATTTTATCGTTATATATCTGTCCGGACTTGGCAGTGCTCAATATGTTTTTCACAATGCCTCGCAATATGTCGGCCAAAATATGATTACCTGTCTTTACCAAAATGCAGCCACCTATTTTGATTTTATCGTCGATTCGAATAACCAACCGGCACTCGACCAAACTTGTGTCAATCTTGGCAAATAGGATTGTCGACTTGAGTTAGAAAAATAAATTAATATTTTCATGAGTGCAAAATAAATGTCACAGAATGCATTGTTTTGCGATATAACTTTGTATTTTCGGAGAAGGCATGTCATACAAGTACGGTATTTTAAATAATGCGCAAATAATTAATATTTGATCTAAATTTATCGCAAATAATGTTATAACTTTTAGGCCGCGAAATGATTTAATGTAAAATGAAGCATCAAATTCGGAATACCGTCAATAAGTCGGCATCAATAATTATTATAAAATGCTAACTAAGTAGTAGAGTCGGATATTGTAAAAAACAGTGAAATAAAAGTCTTCGTCGCGAGGCAAGCGAAATTATATTCAAACGAGAGAATACGCTTGTAGTTGATTAATAAATTAGCAACCCGGATTTTTGATTTAATACGAAAGTCGTATTAATACGTTAATACGATTTTAAAAAAGTGAACTATCGTTTCTTAAATATATTACCAGTGTTGGTAATGATAAAATTGATCGCATAAAATTTGGTGATAAAGTGGATAAAAAAAATCAAAGCTAATACAGAAGATAAAAATCAGAATAAAATTATTTTGAATTCACTCCTTGATATTTGTCTTTAACATCTGTCGCCGGCGTGTAGTACTGCCGGGAATATGAAAACCAAACTTCGATGTCCCATTTGGAATAGAAGTGGATTAAATTGGTTGTTATGATAGGTTTAAATGTGTGAAAAAAATATCGCAATTACGGGGTCATTACGTAATAGATTTGGCCGTAATTACGGAATTGATTTTTGTCAATTACGTGCAAGCCTAGTCATGCACCAGAGATATCACCCAAACCTTATTTGTTTTCATTATATTTCATATATAGAAGCAGTTTGGTTATTTCCTGCTTGTCTACTGATCTTTTCAGCAAACTACACAGGTAAGTGTTCGGTACTGACACGCGACCTTTATATCCATATTTTTGACCAATGTTCTTTTATTTATTAACTTAGCATAGGTCAGAGTTTCATAGGCAGTGATTACATCCTAGATACATCTTATTCAAACTGATGGCTGTGAAGCACCTTTTACAAAATGGTAGTGTTGGAAGTTACCAAAGTTTCGTTGAGAATAATTAGTTCAAGGATGACTTTTTATTCAAATGCAAAATAAAGATTTACCTTTCCATTCTTTGCAGTAGGTGGCACATATGGTTCAGTTTGCCAAATTCCGAACAGTGGCATTGACAATGTTGACATATCTTGCTTCAACTTCATGTTTATCCATAATGATGCCACCATTTTGTAAGGCTCTTCACCATCTTTCACACTTCTTGCCTGCAAAAAGAGACAAAACTTTCATTATAATTATTACTGTTAAAATTGCATATTTCAAAATTAGAAATTAAAAAAATCAGCCTCCAATTTAATCCAATATCAGCGTACCTCTTGAAGCCATTTTTCTCTGCTGCATAATGTGTATATCGATGACCGAGGATATATCTCTTCTCCTCTTATAAGACCAACAGCAGGTACATCTGGTGGATAGATAGCTTCATATTTAAGAAGATGCCTCCTCAAACCAAACAATGGATGATTTTTAAGAGCGGATATGGTTGTAGGCAATGGTTGAGCCAAAAGAGCTTCTTGCATGTCTCTGTTTTCCTTAGCATCTAATACCTGTTGAAATATTCGAATGATTATAGTACATGGCACTTGGATTATTAGGTACTCCAAAAAAAAACAGGTTTTTTTATGGAGCATTATGAAAAGTAACCACAAAGTGCTGGAGACCACAAGTATCACAAGGTCTATACTAGGTATTGTCTAATTTTTCGACCGTTTGATGGCTTTTTTATAATCAAACATGGGGCGTAAAATACCTGATTGATGCGTGTTAACCGCAAAACTAGCTTTTATTTTATAGAAGTGCAATGTAGGGAGTCATTGGCAGACAGAGCATGAAAGTTTTAGAACTACTAAGTAACAGAATGAAGGTGTATACCGTATCACGTTCTGCGTATGGTGCCAGTGTCTCCTTCCACCAATCTTTATCAACCATTCCAACTCGCAACTTTCTAGTGTCAGTTAACCATTTTGCTGCATAGCGAGGAGTTATATCTTTAATGTAATCTTTGTTACTAAATCCAAGGACATAATGAACAGGAGGAGTAGAATACTTTTCTATTTCTTCTGGATGATTGATAATGCAACGGAATACATCGAGACAGATCCACTTGCCCTCCTGAATTAGAAATCAATTCAAAAATATAAACTGCTGGTTGGTAAAAATAGCAGCAGAATATATAAATAAAAAACAAAAAAGGAGATAACGAGCATCCCTGCGACGGTCACTCTAACAAATATTATATATATCATCATGATTTGAATTTTGAGTACATATATTTAGAATACGAAAATTAGTGAATTTTCAGAAAAGGTAATGCAGCTAAAATTATAACCATATATCGACGCATGAAATCCAAATTGGTCTAAGTCCATTTTTCTAGTTTTGAGAAAAATGCAAAAAACGTTTTTTTTTTGTTTCTTTTTTTTTATTTCTCTAATACCTTACATCGAGGATGTCTAGTTTTTATGGTCCACCAATGTTACAATGAAGGCCATATTTAGATGGTATAAAAAAATTTGTGCTCCGCCCCAATTTTGTTTGGGTGTTTTTTTTTTTAACTTAACCCTTTTTGGCTCTCAATTTTCTGGACCAGAAACAATTTTATTGGACTTAGGGCCCCTTTATCATGTTATTATAGACGCTGGTATGGACTTAGCGCTTTGTATTATATTTTTTGAGAGAAGCTATGTCCAAAAAACGAACTTAGCCCCAACTTACAATGCAGTTATCCAGAGCTAAGTCCACTATAGTAGACACAGCTCTGTTTAGATCTCAAATGCCCTAAAAAAAGCAGGGTTATGTCCATAGCTGTCTTGAGATCTAGAGCACCTAGAGATAAGGCAAATAGACCAAAATGTAGAGCTAAGTCCAGGGAAATCAGCAATTAAAAAATGTCATTTTTTGGAAAAGTGGACTTCGCACTGTTTGGTTTTGAGGTGTCGATATAATATATACTGCCATCTACAAGTGAATAAAATGTTTTAATTACATGTGGAAAAAGTGTAGTCAAAGTGAAGAACACACAGAGTTGTTTGAATTTTATTTCTGTTCTCAAAATAAATAATAAGGAATTATTATGATATCATGTCCAGCTGGACAGTGTGGAGGTAAGAACTAAAACGGTTTATTTTATATTTGAGTTAAGTACCAACCAATCTATGAACCTCAAAAAGTTAAATCTAAAATACCTCTTCTGAAAATACTTCTATCCATTGATCATAACAATCTGCACTGCTCACTGTTCGTTTTGCTGCAGAAGTTTTACGAGATGTCACCTTCTTTGTTTTGGCTTTCCCTTAAAAATATATGTAAACCTTTACTGAATAGAGTAGTTTTAAAATTATTTTCACCGTAAAACAAAATTATCTGAAGCACAAAAACTGATACAGTTGAGCATGCCTTGATAAGTGCAAAAAGATACAACAATCTTAAACACACGACATATGAAACCAAATTTTAAAACCACCTATAATCAAATGCCACAAGAATCAGCAGTTTAACAGTCGGTGCGTGAGCAATCCTCTTGCAAAAAATTAATTTTGGGTGGTCAGCAGATCAAGAGTGAGCATAATCCTTAGGCATAATTGGCATGATTTGCCAATTGCCAAGTTATAAGATTACCATTTAAGTGATTAGATTATATAAGCTTTTTGAGTTAAAAATAGATACCTGCAGACGTCTTTTTAGTAGTATTTCCTTGGACATTGCTACGGCTTTTCTTAGCTGGTGATTTCTTTGTTTCCATTTTAGGTTCAAAATCACTGTCATTTTCACTAGAACTGGGTGAATTAACAACGGGTTGAAAATCAGCATCTTCGTTATCTGAGTCCACATCACTTTTCTGAAAAGAAAATGATGAATTGCTTCCATTAAGATGTGAATTAATTTGAGATAGGATGTTGCCCAAGCTATGTGAGGACTGTATGTTATAGATCTTTCGTTTAACTTTCTACACGTCCAGTGCTTTGACCAAGCGCATCATTTCGCCTAGTGTGTGATAAATAAAGTGAATAATGCTCAATAGCAGGCCAAGCGGAATATAAATTCCTGGACCCAATAAACAATCTACCTCAGCTTTGTTCGAAATAAATTTCAATAAAAAGCAAATGTCAAGATCATACCACATTAATCTTTCGTTTAACGGTAGTTCTCAATTTTCTTTTAGCTTTGGTATTTGTGAGTTGTTTCACCAGTGGTGTCTCGTCCACTTTATTTTCTTCAATCTGTGAATATTCATTAACTTGTTAAGCAAGACGATCTTGGATAAATATAATTGGCTGGTAACTTCTGAATCGCTGTAAGTAACATACTTTTTGTTTTGATGCATTTTCTTTCTTAGTTTCACTTTCTTGGACTGCAGTTGTATCTTTCTTTGATTTTCTCAATTTTTTCGTTACTTCTTTCTTTGCTACAGCTGTCGATACTTCGGTAATTTTTTCTTCAACTTTGTTCAATTTACTTCTCCTTGTTTTTAAAGGAGCAGCATTTTCTTCATCGGAATCTTTTTTAGCAATTTTTCGTTTCCGAGCTTTAACAGGATTGACGGATTCTTCATTGTTAACTTTCACTCCTGCAGTGGATGATCGAGTAACTCGTCGTTTCTGCGGAGAATCATTCGCTCCATCGAGTTGAAGTATCACCTTGCTGTCCTTGTCCATTAAAAGCGGAATATCTTTAGTTTTATTTTTCTTTGATGCGTAAATTTTCGATTTGATCGCAGCAACGCTCTCCTGAAAAAGTATCAAGTAATATTATCAAGCACGGTTGTGATTTTTCTTATTTACAGTCATTTAATATTTTTCATTTTGAACTAATTAGGAGCCTCGAAATTCTTCATAAAATACTCACATCTCGTTTCTCTATTGGTGTTTTCAAAGGAAGAGGCTGTAATGATACCACTAGCCTTGTATTCAATCCCATGGCTCGCAATGCAAGGACAAAAACCTGAGAATAAAAAAACTTGTAAAGTATATCCATGGACATCTATGAAATAGGTGATAGTAACCTGAAAAACTATCTGAAATTTTACTCGCTTATGTGAGATTGCAACCAAATAACAGTATATCTTGGAAGTTGGAATTGAATATTCTTCCCCTCTTCAATTGAAAAGATAGAAATCAGTGTGTTCTACCCTAAGCAATTCCATGTTTGTTTATGAATAATGAATATCTATGCAAAAGTCATAAAACTGAAGACTTACCAACACCCAATCCAACTTGAACTTGACTTTTTGTGCTTCCAGAGCTTTTTTCATCTTAGTCTCCAAGAATGGTAATCTGAGCATTCCAAAACCAAGAAGCTTTTCCACCCCATTTTCAGTCTCAAATATTTTTTTCATATCTTGTATAAACCTGAATTAAACACAGATAGTGAAGAAAAAAAGAGAGAAAAAAGAAGAAATAAGAGTTACATGCACTGGTACCCTGTGCAAAAGTAAATCTGAATTTACCCTCAGTCTAAATGCAATTTGGCGGCAGTGAGACACAAATTCAAATTTTGAAAATTAAACATTGAACTTTCAACTCTATAAACTCAACTTAAAACTTTTGAAATGATAATATGGATGATAAATGAAAAAAATGAACAGCTGAAAAGAATAGATTTTAGCATTTTTACAAAACGTTTCAAACCTTGTTAAGAACATTGCAGAGACATGTTTCGGCTTGACATCATGGTACTTCTTGGGAAGTAAAGAATATGTTCTTGATAGGAGTTCTTCATTGTTGCAAATTCGGTTAACACGCATTCCCATTGTTAAGAGACACATAAGATGAACCTACAATTTGATAATTTCAATGAGTCAGTAAGTTATTTTTTCACATACCGAAAATACGAAAATATACAAAAGTAAGGTAAAATATAAATTAATGTAATTCAGCGTGATGGGAGACGCGTTAAACCAGTCATGGTTATCAAACAGCGTCATCTTTGAGGGAATCTCATAAAAAAACAAGTAAAGGAAGTGGAACAATATTCAATGACAGAAATGACAAACGGGCGAGGGCTAGTTTTTGTGTGCCGTATCCCATTTGAGTAGACATTCCCAGGAAATATGAAAAAATAGGAACCACTCATACGAGAGGTTTACTAAATATAATCATATTTGGGCTACTCCCTGCTGTGTTATCCTGGTATCAAGAATTCAAATTATCCTGAAAAATTAGTTAAACTGAATGAAATTGAATATTTAAAGATTGAGCTTCGTCAATCATCCTTCGTCTTTTGAATGATGGGACACTTTAGAAAATTTGTATTGAAATTCAGGTCATCATACAAAAATACTTTTTCCATCAGAATGCAGCATCTTTTCTGAGCTGAAACCAAATTTGTTTACCTTATGCATAACAGTTTGCATTTCTTTGTCAATTCTCTTAGCTGCTTGCCTAATGCATGTTTCAACCATTTCTCGATCCCATTTTTCTCTTTTGAGTTTCTTCTTCACAGCATCTGGAACCCACTCAACCTATAATCAAAAACATATTCAATATCTATGCAAAATTAATTTGTATAATTTGACTGATAGATACTCAAAAAAGTTCAAGAATTTGAGATTGAGGGACTATTATAAGATTTATCATTATTTACTGCTAGTGCTAGGTGATAAGGTAAGAATAGGTACACCTGTAGGCTGTAGTGTGTACCAGGTTAAGGTTGGGCCTTAATATTATTCCTATTCTCCTTATTTTAGTTATATTACGAGTTCAGGGACTGTCTGTGTTAGCCAAGTGAATATACCCCCTGCCCATAGGTTTCAGCCCCTTCACACAACTTGATGTAAAGTAGGCGAACAAAATTCGTTCCCTCCATATTGGTACATGCACTTTTGGAGCGCAAAACATAAGTACATACATTATATAAATATCAAACTAGAAAATTTTCCAAATCAAACATAATTTATAGTTTACTAGATTACTCAAGGCAAAATTGAGAACCTTCAACTAGGAGTGGAAAGACTAATGGTAGAAGAGGTAAAATCTATCTTTATTGATACTCTCAACACTGAAAGGGACTATATAGTGTAAATCAGTGGTTCCTAACCGCCGGTCCGCGAAGCTTTTTTACCGGTCCGCGAGATATTTCGATGTTTTTATGCCGTCTCAATCGCTTTACCGAAGACGAGGTTGCGTTGGTTTATTACGCAATTTCGCGGCATCTTGGCGACGAGTAATCACACTTTTCGCTTTTTTGGCCCTGATTCATCGCGAATGCGCTCCGATCGCTTTACGGGAGACGAGGTTGGGTTGGTTTATTACGCAATTTCTCTCCCGCCGTCATATTGCAACATCTTGGCGCCGAGTAATCACAATTTTTGCTTTTTCGGCTCCAATTCATCATATGAACTTGTTGCGACCGTGCAGGTGGTGACGAGACGCGCAAAAAAACATGGGCCGCAGAGATCTTTTCCAATATTTTGAGCAGACATAGTAGGATTTCGATCCTGGTGCTAACTTGCCAAGTCACCGACGACTTTGTCATTGCAATGTAAATTCATTTCGTTTGAGGCGTCGATCAACTGCAGAGGGACTAATATGATGAACCCGATGAAAAAGAAAAATCTTGATTAAAATTGTGATTCTACTTTACAGTCCAGATTTAAGAAAAAATCACTGTCACAATTTTGGATATCTCTCGATGGCGAATACCCATCGCTAAGTAATCAAGCAATCGAACTGTTGTCCGCATTTTTAAGCAATTACTGCGTTATGCGAATAAACATTTCCATCACTAGATTCAATTAAAACGAAGCAAAGAAATCGGCTGCACGCCTCTGCAGAGCTACGTGTTGCAGAAACTTTTTTGAGGCCTCTGTTGCAATCCAATATTGGAAACGAAACAGCAGCAAAATTCTCACTAGAGTTAATTGGGTTTATACATTATTTGGCATGTACATGTTTTTTATGTGAGATGTTTTATGCGTGCCTTTCTTACGCATAATGGGTGCCCAGTACTGCATTTTATTACGAAAATAGATGGTATTACATTATGTTTCACCCCTTTTCAATTTTTGGCCGGCACATTATTTAATAGTTTTTCTTCGTGTGAAGTGTTTTTAAGTGTGCTTGTTTTGTCTAGAAGCATATTGAGTGCCCGACATTGCATTATATTATCTGTTCCGGTCATTTCAATGTTTTGCCGGTCCGCGAGAACTTTTAATTTAATTTTACCGGTCTGCCAGGATAGAAAGGTTGGGAACCACTGGTGTAAATGACTGCAAGCAACTAATCTAGTGGCCAAAATAACTCAGAAGAAACAAGGACTAAAATACAAGACAAGATAAAACATTTGTTTTCAAGATATCAAATAGTAATCACCTCCACATTTGCAGATGGCACAACATCTTTCTCTTCTTCTTCTTCTTCATATTTCTGAGATTCTTCAACTTCTTCCCATTCCTCATCACTACTCTCTGTCGTTGTATCAGGTGACATCTTTACAAAAGCTAACCTAAACTATTCACTATTCTTCTAAACATTTTAAAGAAATGGAGCAATTTAATAAAAAGCCCAAAATATTTTCTTCACATTAAGCACTTCTACATGGGACTTCACATTTCAAAATTTACAAGATAATACGGGAAATGGAGACAGTACAAGTAGAATCCTCAATTAATGATTCGTTCATTTCCAATATTACTCCATACCAGCGTTTCCCAACCGAGAAGAAACTTTGCGCTGGGATTTTGGTGTAGTACAACTGCTAATATTCTTACTCCAATGCTTATTTATACACACATGATACAAGCTTATGATTCATCACTGATTAAACAAATACAGTAGTTTTTATGCATTTTTTTGAGGGTGGATTAAATACCGTAGTTACAACTAGCGAGGTTAGTTAAAGGTTAGAAACCACTGCTTTATACACTTTTATAGTTCAAATTATAAATTAGGTGTTACTCGATGTGTTTTACTGATGTCTAATACCTATGGTAGGATTGTGACAAAATATAGTTCGAATAAAATCTATAACTACAAAACACATTTTGAGAGCTTGAGAAGGTATAATGGAATAAAATCTAAAAATACCCAATTCAGGTAAATATGTAACTATTCATCTCATATCAATGCTCCATAAAAATAAACTACAAAATTCACTGACAAGTGGGCCATTGAGGTAAGGCATTTTGGATCCTGCACGAATTTTTTCACATAAGGTTAAACAACTACTAGTTTCGGTTCACAACAAAGATGAAAAATTTCTGTTCTATTGTGCATAGAAAGGAATTTTTTTACAGCTTTCATTAAAATCACAAGACAAAAAATGTCAATATTTTCAGTCTGATGTTATGCTGTTAATTACTTTTCTAAATTCTCTGGGAGAGGCAGTAGTCCTAACTCCCCTTGGATCGAACAACGTTCCACAAGCCCGAAATCCAACCGACCGCAACTTTTGAATAGAAGCAAGAATTCTCAAAGGATTTGACCCTTTTTTAGTATGAGACTCAACAATATAGTAGAAAATCGGACAAGTTTAGAAGAATATTTTCGAATAATAGTTTCTAAACTATCATTTGGTTTCAGTCTTTTGGCAGACGGCTCATTAGCATCTTGGCTTTTAGACATTTTCTCAGTGTCAATTATTTCCTTGTAAAGTTTAATAATTTCAACTTCTTGCTCATCAGAATCAAGACACAAACTTTCCAATGTCATATTTTGCATGACTGGCACAAGTTTATTTTTACTATCAATCTGGGTAAGCGTTTTTGCCATTTGAATCACAAAATGAATGTCGAATATGGGTCCAATATATGCTGGACCTAACATTACAATCGGTGGTAGTACATTTTCATCGGTGATTCCTCCATCTTTGCAAAAGCAGTCGGTGATATCTGGCATTGGAACATAGTACAATTTTTCATTCAAAATTTGACGATAATGACAAACTCTGCAATGAGCGACTCTTTGTATAAAATCCAATGATTTGTTAGCATGTGTGGCACCTTTTAAAATTCTAACTAAAAGAACAATGGAATTTTCATCCACATAAGATGAAAGTACAGATATTCCACGGTCCCATCTGCTCGCAGAACGAGCTACATTTGCTAAAATGAGCCTTACAGCAAGTTCTTTACCATATTCATGTTTCATTGCTTGCCCATGATAGATTCTTGGTACTCTTTCTGGACATTTATTATACAAAGTGCATAGGTCTGTTGAAACAATACATAATACACCTCTGTGGCATATAGAAAAACAAGCAGCCTCAAGATACCTTACGCATGTTCCATATGCTTCTAGATATATCATGTTGTATCTTTTATTTGATTCGTGTAGTAAAGAATTCGGATTCCTACATACAATAGATACATTGTTTTCAAGAATGTTATTTTTCAGATTTTTTTCCAAACAATTTTTCATATAAATCGCGTCATGTAAATTGATTGTAACTGAAACATTTTTTCCGAAGTGTTTCGCCCAAATCATTCCAGACATCCCGAGACCTGGAACTGCATCAATACATGACAAAGCCGTCATTCCAGCTCCTTGAAATTCTTCAATTATTTGTGATAATGCAAGTAAAGAGAATAGACGAGGAGTATGTAATCTTTTAGCAGTGTGCCATTGGTTTCCTAGCTTTGTGAGAAAGTCTTTTGTATATTTCGCAGAAATACCTAATTCGGATAGTGTACATTCAGTCATACCTAGATTTGAGTTGACTATTTTCGATACTACCTTATGATTATATGATTAAAAATCTGATTTAAAAATTGCGAAAGAAAATATTAACAGCTATCCCAAGTGTGGGAGATGGTAACATACTATCAGCAACTACGCATTTTTCTTTTTTTCCCATGCTGTTGGAGTATAAGTTTTTTGTGTAAAAGCGTGAATCGATTTCATCTCTTCTGCAATAATGTCATTGACCATCCTTTGCTGCTCAAGACGTGACTTTCCAACAAAGAGTTCCGATACAACAACAACGTTATAACTAGTTCCACACATTTTGGGCGACAAATCGTCTATTTCAATATAAGTTGCCTGCAAACCTTTTTGCAATTTCTCTTTAATTATCTCACTTGAAGTCATGATTGCTGATGGCTAGATGCAAGTCACAATTGGGCGAATTAAAAATATAAACATATATAAAAACATGCGTTCATATAATCTAAAGACAATAGAATAAGTGATGGATGAATGATTTAAGAGTGAATTTATATTTTTCACAAAGTGATGAAATATTTATGAATACTGGAATATGTGTGAATAATCTAATAATAATCCGAGTAGTGCGCTAGCAGTGAGGTCATGAAATATACCGGTACCGGTATTGCACTGTCTGAAAATAACGACCCACGGGTCGGATCCTGCCCACTTGTGCCTGCTGAAATTAAAAATATTTTCTATGAATATAAATTTTCTTATCATCAGCTACCGTACAGCATACAGTAATTCCCCACATATTATATCTTAAGTCACTTACCAGGTTACAGTACTGCAGTACAATAATTTCATTCCCAAACGACATGAAACAGGGAAACGATAACCATCTACCCACTCTCTTGGTACTGTACAAGAAGTTGAGGTATAAATTAGGGTTTTGCATTTATCAAAAAACATCATACCGTACGGTCATCTATAACTGGCCCACTGAGAAAAGTGATTGCCGAACCTAGCTGTAAAGTAATTCAAATATTGCAAAACAAACTAACTCTACAGCTCTACCAGTTCCGCAAAAGCACCCAACATTCGAGTGGAAGTGGTGACTGCTCTGCGGCCCATTGGCCGTGGCCCCGGCTCATAGAGGAGTCACCACCCCTGTAGCAACATTCGATTCGCCCAATCTCCAAAACCTGATCACTCCTAACCTCCGCACTATCCTCCCTCCCACGCAGCGAAACTAAACTGACAGCAATCAGACTGCAATTCACGCCGCTTTTAATAACACGAGTTTCGCGCGATCTTTGTTATGTAACCTCACGTGACCAGAGTTACGTAACAAAATTCACCGCCGATCTGGTCATTTTTTCTTCTGGCGATTCAGCGATCAATCGAAGTCCTAATCTAAAGTGGGGTATCCCGCAGCGTTTTAAGCGCTAGAAATACGCCCGCCATCGCACCTCTATTTCGCGACTTCTTGCGTTTCGTAACATTTACTTTTACTGCGTAATATGGTAAAATATTCAGGATTATTTCCCATATGTGTGGTCATGAGAATACATGAATGTCATACTGTCCGGTTCACCTCCTTCAAAGACTCGAAATGTCACGAGCCGGCTAACCACCGATGAGATTTTTTTTGGACAGTCGAAAAATATTTTCCAAAAAGTCTTTGAAATAGCTGACACTTGAAATACAATTTACCACGTCTGTATATATTTTTCAAAATAGGCTGTTAATGCCGAGGTAGATGTTGACGATACATGACTGAATCCTTTTTTGACTCGAAACGTCACGAGCCGGCTAACCACCGATGAGATTTTTTTTTGTCCTTGAGATAGAGTCTATGCCTATGGAAAATAGCTGACACTTAAAATACAATTTATAACGTCTGTATGGATATCTCAAAATAGGCTGTTAATGCCGAGGTAGATGCTGACAATACATGACTGAATCCTATTTTGATTCTCAAACTAATGTCAGTTTAACTCATTTCAACTTTGTTTATGAATTATATTAGAAATGGGCAATATAGAATACCGAATCGGGGGGATTTGAATCCCAAAGTATTCGGAATCGGTTTCGCCTCTTCGGCGCCATGCGTCAATTTTTGTATTACGGATTTTTAATTTATTAATCAGTGACGAGCGTTTTCTTACGCGACGAAATCTCTCTCGTTTGATTATACCCGTAGTAGTATATATTTAACATTATACTAGCGTTTGCTCGCAAAGAACCCGCAAATGTGGCATATATCAAACTCCGTAATCCCAGCTTTGCATATTCAGAACGCGAAGACAACGTACTTTACAAGTTTCAATCTATTTCGCTGATAAGAATAATTATTATTGGTGCCGCCTTACTGACGATTTTCTAATTGCAACAATCTTAAATGTTAGGAGTACGTGAAATATTCTTTAGTTTGAATGATTTATCGCGGCCTTCGAGTTCTCCCGGAAAATCATGTGTACCAGACGATAGATGTTGAGACATTATTTTCGATTAATTTACATCAAATTTTTTTTTCACGACACCCCGTTTCCGAAAATACAAAGTGATATCGCAAAACAATGCGTTGATTTTTCATTTATTTTGTACCCCGAATAAAATAAAATATTCGTAATTCAAGCATAGTTAACTATGATTCAAGTCGCCAATGAATCCGTTTCTGTCGACCAAGCACGACACATGTTTGGTCGAGTGTCATGCGGTATTTTCAAATTAAAAAGGTTGCCGCTAGTGGTATGTATAACCACAATTACCAAAAATTAGTATTTTATAATAGAAATGAATTTTACTCAAGATGTTATTTTCGAGTCTTGCCCGCAGAAAATAAACACGCTGACATACTTGATTATAATTGATAGTCGTTAAATGCTCAGGGTATTTTCATTTGGATACAAATGTAGTAATACATTGACAATTTGGCTTTTTAAAAATTGGAATCCATAATTAGGGTGGGAGAATTACCACATTTGAAAAACAATAAAATAGTATAGGATTCGGTATTCTGTATTTGATTCAGGTATTCTAGAATATATCACCCACCCCTAAATTCTACTATGACTCGGCGTCGACTTGTGATTCAAAACAGTAGCGACTTGGCTGCAGACTCGAATTATAACATTTAAAACTCAAACTGTACTTGAGAATCGGGGTACCACTCAATAATGATTAATATAAGAGAAAACTGAAGCCGCCAGTACAGTATTATATTAAAATAATTGTATTATTATTAGCTTTGTTTAAATTTTCACATCACATTGTGGCGTATATTTTCGATGTTCAGGATTCTTGTTGGTGATTTAAAGCATTTGCATTCGGTTTTATCATTTAATCTCTAAGGCTTTAGGTTCATCAGATGCTATACTTCAGGCTCTCATATCATATAACGATCCGGAAAGTTTCACCCCTTTTATTAATACCTGTCTGTACCCCTGCCTTAATTTCTTGTTACTACACCATAGTTAAGGTACGACAGTAAAATAAGCGCGGTAGGCCTACTGTACGTGAATATCGTAGTTTAATGTCAAACAAAGTATGTATTGGTTTTATTATAGGTCGTTGTTATGTTATTATAAATTTATTTCGCATGGGTAACAGTGTTATAACCTATTATTTCATAAATGGCTTTGAACTATTTCCTGTTTACTAAAAATACGTTGTTGATCTCTTTGCCTTGAGCGATAGCGGGTCGGTCGACTTGTGGCAGCGGCATCGAAATAACAAATCCTTTTTTAGCTCCTGACACGATAGTTAACTCTATCATTTTTCTGTTTTTGAGGTCACGCCCTCATTCACTGTTTTCTCTATTATGACCTTGTCATGAAACAAACGTATATATTGTATGTGTAAGGTTTATTTTTATTTGATTGTCAACTTAACTAATACATTGAAGAAAGGTTGCTGTTTCTTGGTTTCTTAATTTTATCAATATTCTTCATAATCAAATCATGTAAAGACGAATAAAAATTTCTTAATTCTGCGACAGTGTGTCGCAAGGAAACAAATTGCTTCTCGTCCTCCTCCGCAATGAAACGAGCGTAATCGTGAATTTTCGGGTGTTTGATGACTTTGGACGCGACCTGAAATATAGCAATCGCATTTTAGTCGTTCAAATTACGATCCATCTATTATCCATTAAATAGGAGTTGTATGTTTGAAAGTACAAACATTCAGTAAATATCCAGAAAATTGGTCTATCTTCTAAGTAAAACGCAAGCTAAATACTACATGGCTCATGCTTCAAAAACACCTTTGTCGTCATAAGGTTTGTATAAATTTGAGATAATGAGGTTCTCACGCTACCTTTGCACGAGCGAAAAAATACGACGTAGTTGATTCCAAGAAAACAGCAGTTTCCGTTTCGACTCCTTTCAATTCTCCCATTGTTTCTTCTTGAACAGAAACTCCAAAATTGTTACCATCTTCCATCTTCGGCAAAAGAAGCATGACCTACACGAATAGAAAATTTAACAATTAGGTTTGTTGCACTTAACACACACGTTTTTTATGATGCGGTGAAATATTTGGCACAGCCTACTTTTACTTTTTACTTACCCAGGTACGAATTGTATTACATGATTCCATTAGAGTAATTATTTCTGGTCTGATAATCTCCAAAAGATGAACAATCTGTGGATTCGAAAATACTTCTTGTTTCTCGACAGCATCTTCCGACGCATCACCTTCATCACAACTTTTCAAAAGTTTCGCTGGAGGTTCACCAATGTTCCGATCCGATGTCGATGCTTTCGAATTTTCCTTCTTTGCTGTTACATTTGCATGACTCTCCCAACTTTTTTCGCGCACCGAAGGTATGTTTTCCAGACGAAATTCCGGGCTTTGAAGGATTGCATCCAATTGTGCTGTTTTTTCTGGAAATACCTTGTTCACAAGATTTTCTGCTTCCAAGCCTATTGAACTTTTTATATCAAGAACAAAGTCCATATTGATTTAGTGTGCTGGTTTCGTAAAGCTAGATTTACAACGAAATATCCTTTCTCTTTGCAAAATTGTTATGAAATGGTTGTTTTGCAAATCAGCTGTTTGAGACTTTTTGTGATGTCATAAAAGGCAATTGTGAAATGCGGGGAAACACGCTACGCAAGCACCAAACGGGGAATTCCGAAATGGGTGGATCGAATCCGGCGCACATCATGAACTCATATCTTATATATTCCAGTATTCTGATATTACTGTGATAGTTTTATGGCCTAGAATCAGTTTAAATCAAGAATAAAGGTATACATTTTGTTTGAGGATAACGTTTTAATTTAGTATCGCTATATATTGATACAGTGTATTGACTGCGTTCAGTCTGATAGCTGTACAGTCCAGCAGTCAGACAGTCTGACAGTCTTCCTCTGTTTTCATATACAGAGCATGATACAGGTGATGAAAGAAATTTATTTTGAACTTTTCTCTCCCATGGGATGAATATGTCAGTATGTGGATGTTAATTATTGTGATACCGTAATGCATGAATCTGTGTCATATAGACTACATAGAAGAAGTGAAAATGCAAGCAATAAAGTAATACGGTAAACAGAGACACATGCCGGTACAGTACATGCCTGGACAATCCAGAACATTCTTTAGTTTAAAGTGATACATATTTTCTCGAAACCAAACTATAAAATGACTCAAGTTTGCAAGTGGTGTATGCATTTTAAGTTAGATCTAGAGACATTTGGAAAAAAAGTAGTGAATCATAGGTTACCGTACGGCCTAATAGTTACAGCGGTGTCTGGATTGTCATATGTCGGTGTCATTAAGATTAAACTACTAATTGATGTTATGTATGATTTACATCAGGGGTCGGCAACCTACGGCCCGCGGGCAGGATCGGGCCCGCGGAGTATCATAATCCGGCCCTCGACGCTTCCCTGAATTATAGTAACAAAACAGTTGTTTTGACGATTATATTTTTTTCGTTACACAATTCATTGTGGGACGTGTAGACTAAAATATATTATAATCAAACAAGTATAAAATTCACAGTTAGTCGTTTAATGGGCCTATAATCTAATTATAATTAGGCAAATGGCAACAAAACGTACAAAAATTGACGCTAAGTGCAAAGAGTTCAATGGTGCCAAAAATGCAATGCAATGAGGAAATAAATCCATATTCTATTCGAGAGATGTATCACTGCTTAATTTTTATTATAAAAAGTATCATCCGTTCGGTTTTCAACTTTCTAAAAATATCTGCGGCCCGCCAATGACTTGCAACCATTATTTTGGCCCGCGAACGACAAAAGGTTGCCGACACACGTGTGTTGAAAAATTTCTGCAATTGCAAAAATTTATATTTATTTTTTCAATACCGTCAAATAATGAACTAAATCCTAAGTCGCTGGCCTAATAAGTACAGCAAAGTGTCTGGATTTAAAATTAGTCTATATTCAGATGTTATTTGAATCTCATCCCCTTGCCTTGTTTATGTTTGGTTACAGCCTCTGATTCCTTGAAGGTTTACTGGTATTTTGATTCCCTTCGTAACCATTTTTAACTTTTTTTTTCAATTAATAACATTCTTTTCATTCTAATAATTTACTGTTTTTTTTATCGGTGCATAGAAAAGGTGAAACAAGTGTGAATTGTATAGAAATATGTATCACAGCAATAACACTAGCGGATTTAGGCCCAGCAGAGTTAGAGCTGGTCCAACAACTTTTATACGAGATTTACCGTATTCTGTTTTGGTAAATGTTGCAAAGCAGCTTGATCCAGATGGGACTTCAACTACATGGAGAGATCTTGCCCTCAATATACCAATCAGCTCAATGAATCCAAATCCCAGATTTACAAATAATGATATACAGTAAGTAGTGTTGCCGGAAATGATGATATGACTTCTTTTTATAATTTGAATGTTAGAGGGCTGTTTTTCTAATTGGGCACTAGTTGAAAAATTTGTCATAATACGAGGGAAATTATATTAAAGTTATTAACGTTACTTGAGATTTTGGCACAAATTATGGGGCATGGACATAGCAGCAATACAATAATAATATAGTTTGTGTACGTAAAGAAATGAACCTAGTCTTTTTTTCATCTATCCATAGCCATCAATGAATGGATTTTTAACACCAAACATCCAATCAATATCCATAACACCAATGGTTTAACAACCTGTCGCTAGGCCATCGCTTTTCATTACATTGTTCATCATTCTGTATGGATAATTTAATTACTGTTTAAAATGAATCTTCAGAAGATCTAAAATTTGAATTCGTTTTGGAAAATGATAAATGTGTGTATTATTCTTTTTTTTTTTTAAGGCATTTTGAATTATCTACACAACGTGGTAAAAGTGCAACTGAAGCTGTTCTTCAAGCTTGGGCAACCTCGAATGTCACTGCACAGGTGATCGTTATGTAGCCTATCTCACATTTTTATTTTCAAAAATAAAAAATTATATGACTTTATTCAAATTTTTATTTTTTTAATTTTTGTTTTGACTTCTTCGAAATAAAATCATTTGTTTGAAACGGGAATGGACAATTTACACAAATTTTATTGACTTATTTATTGTTTGTTTATCTTCGTGAAGTTTATCATTGAATTAAATTTTTCAGCTTTTTCACCTTTATGTTAGACTCCCTCGTAGGTGATGCTGCTTGATAACAATTCTTGGTTTATCGCGTCGGCCTTCACAATGAAACAATGCTTTTTTAGGTTCATTTATTTCGCTCTGTATTTTCAATTTGTGAAAAAATTTTGTATTGACTGACTGACTGAAAATAAAAATTTTGTCGTTCCCCTTTTCAGGATCTTGTTAATGTATTCCATAAAATGCATTTACCAAAGTTAGCCGATATAGTTCTACCACCGGAACCGCTTCAAAGAAGATTTGATCCCCCTTCGTACCGAGAAACAATGGGGTTAGACGCAGAGCCAAGTAAAGCTCCTACACATCAGTCTACAGGGTTTCAACAAACTGCTTCACACGTTAGCTCTACTCAAAGTATGGGGAAACGAGAACCTATTGAACATGATTCAATGTCACTTCGACAACCTACTGAAAATTGTACTACAGATATTTCAGAGCATTTGTCATTAGAGGAATTAAGTTTAGACAAAAATTGTGAGTTTGCCATTTAAGCTTTGGTTTAATTGAACTGTTTTCATTGAAATATTATATGCCAATGCAGTATTTTTTCAAATAGCGTTGTTACTGTTTTGTAAATTTCTCTGTGGTAAGTTTCAATTATTACTTGAATATTTGACTGAATTGTTAAATTCAGAGAAATCATATCAGCATTAAATAAATTAGGTCAATTTTGAGTCAACTGGGAAGTTTTATTTAAATAATTTGCTATTGTTGCTATTTTATAGAGATGGATATCCACAGTCATACTCAATGAATTTTCAGATATTATTTTATCTTCTTCAAAGCTATATACCTGTTTATATCAAATATGCAATAAGCAATTCAGTGCTATCGTTATTATATTTTCACTTACTGGTATTTCAAAGTGTTTATAAAGTCTTAAAATTTATCGTATACAGTTTTATGGCCTCTACAGGTGTAGTAAAAACTTGTAGAATAAACAATATTTAAAATAAAACCTGGTTTAAGATATATTGCAAACTGACTTGACTTCATAGTAAAATTCAAATTATAAGATGACATTATCTACACCCTGTATATATAATTCATATAGAAGTTAAATTTATCTTTTATTCAGTGCCTTCATTTTCTTATTCTGATTTGAGTGAATTAACATCAAACTTCAATGAATCTTGTAAATTAGGAGAAGGAGCTTTTGGATCTGTATTCAGTGGAAATTTGCATTTACCAAAGCATAAGGTTTGATTGTGCCTTATATAAACTTTTCAAATTAAATATTAGAACCTTGGGTGTCGCTTCTCGATGACCAGTTTGGTTCCCAGAAAGTCCCCTTTCCTGTAAAAATGTGTAATCAGCTTTTTCTTATAATTTGTGATTTTTTTTGACTGGTTAGAAAAAATAAACTTGACTTGGACTTATAAATAGCAAAACTCAAAAATTTGGACGCAGATGTTTGGGCATGGGTGTTGAACCCAAGATTTTGACCGGCAATGTCATCCATCAAAGTTTAGCCCAACGCCTTAACCACTAGGCCCCGTGGCCATTAATATTATTCTCGTTTACAGCCAATCAAATCTGATGCAAGAAAAATAGCCATAAAAAGATTAAAACTAGATGCTCCAGATCTAGCAGTTGCAGTTGCTGAACAATTTAAAAAGGAGATTCATATAATATCTGAGTATGTACGCTATATTAATTTATTATGATGGTGTATATATAGCAAATGTTGCCAACCGTTATTGAAAAGGACTGTGATAGAGCAGATTGAAAATTGTTGTGGATGCTTGGTTGGGAATGTAGATTTTTATTCAAAATTCATTTTGAATCAATGTTTTTCCATTCCTGAACGCTTCGCTAGTTTGTGATTGTCAAGTTAAATATACAGATAAATTAAGGTTGACAACACCCATTGCTTTGTTTTTTATTTTTGCGAAAGTTATATTCTAATCAATCTTGTTTCTGTCTTACTCATTTACTATTATGTACTGATTTACCTTCAGTCTCACTCTTACTACTTACTTTTTTACTGTTAGGGTTCTAATTACGTCTTTGTATAAGGAGTTATTCTGAAGAAAACTCAATACTGTGTTGATATTTTTATTCTTTAATTTAGATTAGAGCATGAAAATATTTTACCATTGGTTGGATATTCGTGTGATGGACCGGAACTCTGCTTAGTATATGATTTTATGTTCAATGGATCTCTCAGCTCAAATCTGCAAGGTTGCAGGTACTTTTCTTATTCTTTTTATGTATTGTTACTGACTAAGATCAACTTAGTGTTCCACGTCAATTTATGTTTCACCGATTCAAAATACCCTCTCATATAAATGTTACAATTTGGCATGAAAATTGACACTTGTTATGAGTTACTACTTTGGCAATCAGCTCCAAGGCCGCAGAGGCGGGGTTCAGCATGTTTCCACTGAGTCCGGAGTTGGAGCGGGAGTCCTATTTTGAACTTTACAGAGTCAAAGTTGAAATTGGTGGATTCCCGGAGTTTGAGTCGCACGCTTTTCAATAGTGATAAAATAAGTCAAAACTTCCCACAAAAACAGCAAGAATTTTATCAATCGTTTTTAAAAGTCTAATAGTAGAAAACTGCAGGCGCCTAGATTTTGTTATCAAAATTTAATTTTCTCGGATCTGAAATATTTTTCAACACAAAGTTAGAGCTAAAAATTTTTCAACCTCGAAAAGAGAGACGGAGTCATTTGTAAATTGTCTTTCACTCGACAGGCCTGGTTGGTGTTACTATAAAGTGAGTTCAGGAAAGATTGAGAATTGTGAATTGTGGTTATATATATTCTTGAGTATGAGGTAACTCGGCATATTCTTTTCAACTATATCCATTTTTCAGAATACATTGGAAATATTGCTGTTTTATAAAAAAAAATTGTGAAAAACAAGATGTTATGATTTATTCATCGGAAAACGATTTCATAAACTTATTTTTTGTAGGGAGGGAACGAATCAATTATCTGTAGCACAAAGACTTCAAATTGCAGAAGGAAGTGCTGCTGGAATTGAATATTTGCATAACAAGAAATTAGTACACAGGGATATTAAAAGGTAAAACCAGTTTTATGTATTCCTGTGTGTGTTCAGAACAGGACTCGAGGCAAAAAGAAATTTCTGTATGGAAAGACGAAAGCGTAGCATATCCAGTTATTGTTTCTGTGGTTTTGTCTATAGAATGGCAACTTGACTGACATGGGATCAAACGCTAATTTCATAACTTGCAAAAACTTGGTCGTACTTTAACATTGCGCCATTCATGAGCAAGCAAAACAAATTTTATTAATATACTATGTGCTGTTGTTCCCATGGTTTCCTCGTTGTCCGTGCTCTGAGTCAGTTTTCCCTTGTTGAGACATGCGACCACTGAGTATATACTTTTACTCAACTCATATATATACTGTACATATCATATATATACTGTACATATCATATATATATATAGAGGGAGAGAGAGAGAGTTTGATTTAATTTTTTATATTTTTTATGCTAGACATTTTTGATGGTGACGCTACTCGATAACCAGTATTGATTTTTCTAGTCTCCCTTCACGCTGAATGCATTTATATAATTTATTTTTATTAGTGTATGTTTATTGCATATTTTCAGCATGGTGAAAAAATAAAATACCGACTACAGCATCGCAAAATTTTTTTCCCATTTTTAGCTCAAATATTTTACTCGATACTGAAACAAGGCCTCGTATAAGTGATTTTGGATTGATTCGATCTGTTATTTCTGCACCTGAAACGACATCAACCGTGACCAAGAATCCTATAGGAACTCCATTATACATGGCTCCTGAAGCTATCCGAGGAGAGGTTTCAACTGCTATGGATGTGTACAGTTTTGGAATTGTAAGATAAGTTTATGAAATGTTAAATCAGCTTGATGGAAACTTGTATTTGGAATCAAAATTAGATGGTCTTTATGATTACAGCTATGCAGTCAGAAAACCGTTTGATTTTATTCTCACTCCAAGCTATTTTTTTTTATCCGAATGTGACAAATTTTGACTCTTGTCGCAGAGAAACAAAATATTCACCACAGAAGTTTTTTGTTTGCAAGCGTTTTTTGGGTAGTTATTGAAATTTTTCTTCCATCCTGAATGCATGAAAATACACCTCTACAGTCCTTTTTATAAGACACAATTGGCATTACTATTTTATTATGATTTTCGCAGTTACAGCATAGCATTGTTTATTTAAAAATAGTACCAGTACTGGTTTTCGAGGCATACAATTAAGCATAAAGCACCACCTGATCCCTTCATTAGATGCACTGACTTAGAGGGGGCACAATCAATTTTTAAGAAAAATAGGATTTGAGATGTGCCTTATGATTGGTGAAACGGTAGATGTATTCAAAATGATTGACAGCTTTTCATATCTAGCCTAACATGATCTTGGTAACCAGGATACAGGCTGTGACATACCAAACAATTGAGGAGTTTCGTCAGTTTTACTCATTCAAAATTTCTTCGATTTAGGTAATACTTGAATTACTGACGAGCAGAGCAGTATATGATAGAGACAGATCTCCACCAAGTCTACTTGATTATGTTATGGATAAATGTGATGAACAGCAAGATGCAATCATGGATTTAATTGACAATGAAGCAGGGCATTGGAGATACAGTGTTGTTATGGAAATTTATGAACTCTCTTCCGATTGTCTTAATTACAGACGAAAAACACGACCTGCTATGTCAAAGGTAATATTTTTCTTTAGGTACACTCGTAGTTTGTGTATCAGGTTTGGGTTAGGCCATAATTTTATTCGGATTTCCTTATTTTAGTTCTATTACGAGTTCGGGAACTGCCTGTGTTAGCCAAGTGAATATACCCCCTGCCCATAGATTTCAGTCCCTTTACACAACTTGATGTAAAGTAGGTAAACAAAATTAGTTACCTCTATATTGGTACACACACTTCTGGAGCGCCTTTCCTTAAATATATGTTGCATCAGATTGAATTGCTCACTCGTTTATGTGAGATTTAGGAAACTTCAGATTTGCTTCAGATTCAGTAATATTATGCTACTATTTTTGGGGCTGTTTTGCAGGTTCTCACGAATATACGAACAATGAGAGAGAAGATGCATTAGCCTGTCTGACCCAGTGTGACATGTACCACCAAGTACCCATGTTGCAAATGCAAGTAATACGACGCGATAGGAAATTCTTACTAATGGAAGATGCTTAGCAAAATATTGTTGGAATGATCCTTCTTGGTTGAAGTTGATTTTGGTGGAGTATTATATGCTGAGGAGAAATTAGTTTAAAAAGGTTCTCACTTGTGAGAACTGTCATTGTCTTACGACGCTTTATTTGCTACTTTTTTTATAGAAAAGTCGCTTTTGGGCTTGCATGGCAGAGAACTTGAATGGTGCCAGTAGTCGTTTTGCTTGAGAATGATGAGAATTTCCAAGCGATGTCAATTGAAATACTTTCTTATGGAATTGTGCAGTCATTTGCCTAGTATGAGATTATTATCAATGTATTACTTTTATACTATTTTATTATGTTCATATATTCTTTCAGTCGGATATATTGCATTAAAAAACGTTATAATAACTTTTATTCATCGTCTGTCTGCAGTGTATCGGTCTCGATGGTTCAGCAATATAGCTTGTTCTAGTTTATGAATATCATATAAATATTGTATAAGATTAACAATCACTTGTGGCAGAATTCTTATCCCATAGTTTGTTTCCTTTCATTCTGAACCATAGACCTTTTGATAAAAAAAGACCAGCATTTGCTGTTTGTAATTTTTATGTATGGAAAAATAGGCAAATCGCATGTGATTTTAGAAATTTGCTATAGGTACAATGCAAAACAACGCCAAACACAAACAAGCACCCTATTACTGATAAATTCCATGACGCCTTTTTCCGTGGAATTCAGGTAGCGTTGAAACCGTCACCCTCTGTCAGCGATGGGATTCAAAATTTAAAAGCAGGCTCTTTTTTTATATCGAAATTCCCAACAACAGGTTACCTTTTTTCAGAATCCATGCCGAACCTCTAGCTGTATAACAATAGAAGAACGTAACATAAGGAAACAATATAAGAACGCTAGAACGGCATAACATTCTTTTCAAACATATCTAATACATATCTTTCAAAGTGCCAAATATAACGCTCGTCGCCGGCTTCTGCTCTTGTTACCCGATTGCTGCGATCGTCCAACGTCTACAACAGAAACGGTTTTGGTGATTATCATGATAATCCAAGAAGGGTTTTGTGGGATCAATTTCGCTCAGAAGAAATTTCGAATCCCCCCATCATACTTCAGTGGGTTTATTTCTCGCCGATTTGGTATTAACTATACCGCTACAAAGTCAGATAGTAAGCCTTACGAGTATCAGTCGACGAGGCAATTTGAAAATTTGTTTGTTTGTAATTCTGTGGGGATTTTCGTGTACTACCTGGTTCGCAATTGGCCGTTTCACTTTCTAGATCGTAAGTGTAACTGCTACTGTAAGGTTTGGATGTTTTGCGAGTTCTAGTATTTTCTGAGTCTGAAGCTGACGAACCAACTTCTGTATTATAGCAACGACTCCCGCCTACTTCGTGATCCGAACTTGTATTTGTGAGGTGGTCACTCTCCGCGGCAACTCCAGATGCTCTTATTGTAGACAGACGCTGAGTGTAATTTCTAGGTGGCCTAAGCCTCCACGACGAGTTGGGTGACATTTTTCTTCGTGGCAACCCTGTACTACGGCATTCTCTTTGGGTAGGATGCATCACTTGCCAACTCGGGGATCGCCAAGAAATCGGCGTGTGCGAACTGGCACTTTTTCGGATACCGGCATGACTGGTAGGTATCAGATTTTGCTGAATACCTAGACATCTATCAGATGTTGTTGAACGATGAAAAAATTCTTGGCCTGAATGATTTAAAGCCCGCCGACTCGTTGACCTGTGTGGGCGCGTGTTTTCCTCCAAATACTGAGCTTCCAACGCCGACATTGACGTCTGTCGCAAATGTTCGAAAGCCAGAAACGCACATTGTTGGCAGTATTGTTTGTCCTGTGTCTGGTGAGTCGGTTTCGTCATTGCTCTCATAGGGACGTACTGATTTTCGTTGGTGATATTCTCCGCTGTAGAATATTTCGGTTGGTAAACGCTTCTGTTTCCCATCATTTTGGCGTTACTATTCAGATTTTTATCGTGAATCTTAACTTTGCTAAGTTGTTCATTATCTAGAGACTTTGATTTACCAAGAAAGCATAGTACCATCCACAGTTTGGCAGTGATAACGAGACATATAATCTGGAAACAAGAGAGTAATAATGTTCAAATATATGGACGCGAAGATCAAGTTTACCCACTGAGCCATATTTTCATTGGTACTTGTTATTTCTCACATGTCGTGGTAATCGAAACCGCAGTTTATTGAGAAAGGAGGTAACATGAATATAACGTCAGATTACGTAACTACCAGATGTGTTATTATCATATTTCAACGATAACTTGACCAAAGGACAACAAATTTTTCACCATGTCACATATATATAATCTATGTAACGCTAGTTTTACTCGGTGATACATTTATTTGGTGCCTACCATTTTGAGTTTCCCATAGAAATTGATTGGCACATTAGTTACGAGGAAAAGTCATTTCTCCCCAACAAAGCCGTCTTATCGACTTTCCTCTATTTCGGGATAAATATGTAAATCATATCCAGTAAAGTTACCATAGATGGTAATTGAATCTATTTTAATGTTCGGAAGAATGTGACAACCTTGAGCAAGCATCGTTAAAATACATGATCAAATGAACTTTGTATGATAGTATGTAAATCAAAACTATCTACGACGTTTACGATGTTGACTTCCATGCAAAATCAACATGAAATAGATTTCGTTCATAGTCGCAGTATCGCCAAAATAGATAAGAGAGAGCGATTATTCAATCACGATTATTATTCTTTTACAATTTTCGTATTTGAATTCGAACTTACAGGTATTAGTATATATAACAATTTCATGCCAGTTAACATTGAATGATTCGAGATAACAAGTTCCATCGTAACTGTATACTTACTTGAATAATTCCAATGAGGGTCGCAAGGTAAGCCATTGAATGGACTGGCTTTGGAGATCTCACATAATCCAACAACATATTCCCGCAAACCGCGTATCTGGATGAATGATAAATACAATTTTCGGATCCTTCACAGCACGTTTTCAGCATCTCATGATCAATTTCCCAATCTCGATAAGACCTTATTCCACAGCATTGGAACTGAAAAATAGGTATCAGTTTATTGTAAATAAAAAAGTTGTCTACCTCACAAACCATTTTTCATAATTAAGTTCTACATTTTGAATCTGATCATTGATAAATTTCTACAATCTATAATATTATCGTCTTTTAGGATTTTTCCCACAATTTTTCCCTGCGCCGCGAGTGCACGAATTATCGCTGGGAAAATTTGTAGGTCACCACTCCACGTTCGAAACATTTGATCGCCATTTACAGGACCGCCGCGTGCCCTTATGGTTTTGTGTGAAAGCAAATATACACTATTAATTGTATTGAAATTTGGAATACTTATAAGCGACAGCTATGATAAGAAGTAAACAAAGAATCACTGAATGTCCTTCGGTCTATATACGTTGAGCAGCCTTTTTATTTGTTTGAATGAATGACTTCCTAATTGTTGCCTAGTCTTCAGCGAACTTTAACATTAAAATTTACTAGATCTTTCCAATATTTACGACGGAATAATTGTGTTTTTCCGACCTGCTATGAATCCAACTTTATAGGCATAGTTTGTATTTATAAAATGTCTTATGCCGCCAAGTCAATAATAAAAATGCGCATGTCAGCTTCATCGGCTTTGACTCAGCTTAAAGAAAATCCTGAAATATTTGTGAAATCCAATTTTTTCTAAATATCTCATAATATACAAAATCAGTGTTCGTGCACGGAAGGTTCGAGATGAGTTTGTACCAGTCATATCATAAAATTATTTCAAGGGTTTATAGGGACAATAAAACATATATATATCGATAAATATAGTATTTTCTTGTGGGGAGAAATTACCTTTTCATGAATTTCCTCCCAAGCTTTGATGAACCAAGCGTGTTCTTTATTCCCATACTTCTTTGCATTTTCGAGAAGTATAGACAGATCTTTTTCATTTGATGTTATCTTCCAGTCAAGCATCCCCCATACCCCAGCACTTATTTCGACACAGATGCTTGCCAAGACGGAGAAAAAGAACTAAAAATAGTTTCAAAATTTATTCCAACGGTTTGTTGATCGTCGCAGGCTGTACGACTGGCTCACCTTGGAAATCAATGGAAACACGACTGACTCGTACGTTTATTTACCCAAGGCATATTCGCAGGATCGAGTGATAATCACGTGCAAGAGGATTGCCGAACTACTCGCCATCGTAAGGATGGTTCACGTAACAGTTTCTTTCTCTTCCATCACTTGCATGCTTCAGAATTTACTAACTAGTTAATTATTCTCAACCCAACATAAACTGGTGACTGGAAAAGTGGCCCAGGTTTCCTATTATGTGGTCAAGCCGTCTTGTCTGATTTCCTTTCTCTCGGGATAAGCATGATAATTTAAAAATACTTTGTGACTAAACCAGGGTAGTTGGGTTAAACCTTTCTACAGTCAAACTTTAGTCAGAAATTAAAAAGAGAAAAATTTTTTCCAACATGGTTCTAATGATCAGACGTACTGTCAAAGATGATCAACGCTATTGGATTATTTTAGTTTCTTAACCGGACACTTGCTTTTACTTCTGAACCGTAATCTATGTATACTTATGTCAACTTTACCATAAGTGAGTGGGCAAACACCTAACTCTTCCATTTTTAATTTATATACTTTATTTTGGTATTCAGATATTAAACTTCATTATCAGTTTGTTTGCTCTACTTTTAATCATGATTTTATCCTTACTTTCATCATACACACGCTGCATTTTTGCTGGCTATGAATTCAAAATAATCCTATATTATGTTGGTATGTATTCTTATGTGATGATAGTGTTGTCAATATTCACCACATACGAACAAATATCACATAACAATAACACACAATCTATTGAATTAATTTTATTTTCGCCAGTAGATAAAGACTTACCCATGCTAGAATAACTTTGTTTTCAGTGAATGCTCCACAGCATCCTAAACATCCGATGACAAGCAGGAGACAAGAAACGGATATTAAAACAGGAAAAACGACTGGAAAGAATCCAACGAGATAGAAATTCCCGGCCGATGTTCCTTCTGTTACTAATGTGATTTTGCTTAAGTTATCTCGAATCCAACACGACACACATAGAAGCCCCAAGCACGATATCTAGAAATAAAAAACATGCAATATTTAAGTACCTCTTAGGATTCGATAAGAGCTTATAGATGCACTACCAATAAGTATTCAGCTAGAAGATGGAAATGAATGCACACCTTCATACATTCCTCCATGTTAAAGACAGTTAATATATATTATTGGCGGCGGTGTGGCTCATCGTGCTAAGCGTTCGGACCTCTGATTACTCTGCGTGGGTTCGCGGGTTCGAATCTCGTACGGGGATGGTTATGTGTGAGAGGATTGCTGAACACCTCGCCGCCGAAATATGCATTTCTATATACAGTATGGGAATTCAAACAATACAGATTTGCTCTTCGTGTTGGACGATTGTATATCTCATCGGACGCCGTTTTTTTTTTGGCTAATACTGTTGTAAATTCTATAATGCTTTAAAATATTATAACCCATCAAATTGTGTTGACAAGAAACCTAATTAGTCAAGGAGTAAACATCGGAAAATTGGGTGTAGTTTCGTAATCCCCAACTTTCGCTTGATATACTCGGCAACGCCTGACAAATTTGGATATTTTTTGTTCGCGATACTTACCTATGCAAAGGCTGAACATGTCAGTGAGTTAGTTAGTTCTTGATTAACCTCGTACTTAGAACAACAAGAAGACGGAACATTTTGCACTTTGCTGATAAAAATTGTGCAGTGATATTTTATGCAAACACTCCAAGTCGGTTGTATAAATCTACTTTGTAGTATTAGCGTATAGTTGTCAACAAAACTTGATTAAGAACAATGGTAATATTGTCAATGATTTAATTGTTGAAGTCAGCGTATGATAAAAACCGGAACAATATAGTTCTTGTGGCCAAGATAATATTAATTAAATAAAATGTTATGCGTGTTCCAGCATGGGGGATTTCATCAAAATTATATGAATAAGATGGTATATATGTTATAAAGATGATGACGTTTTACGTATTATTTTAGATATTTAATTTTATGTATTCTTGGCGTTCTCGGATAGATTCTTTAATTAAGTGTAAGAAGAGTATCACTGTCCACGTTTATAAAACGATAGCAGTTTATGAACAACATAACTCAAAACAGAGAAACTATAACCTGTGACAAAATGGAATGTGATGATTTTTGAAAATTGAATTTTGAGTTGACAGTTTGTTTCGGATGTGCGATATCACATTATTGTTTGCGGAAGATGTTTGTTACATAAGTTGTTCTACGACCAAATGAAAATTCGTAAAACTTGAACACAATGTCTTATCATATAAAACTTAAGTGATGAGTGTTTATATACTGTGTCATAGTTTATAAATGTAGTAACGAATGAAGTGGTTATACAGTACACGTTTATAATTTACTCTTAAAGATAAGTGAGGCATGGATGAGACACCATGAGATAAATGATACTGGCAAATAGTGGATAATAGTGTACTACGGGACTTTATCACTTGTGGTTGGTGCAAAATATGGAAATCCAAATAATTAATGATGAACTTAATTGCACTGTATTTTTAATATAATTGAGACACAATTTTTAATTATACAATTGTCGTGTCTCATTTGACATGGTTGCGAGAGTGAACGAGCCCTACACATTATTTATTATTGAATGCATTATCGGTTCTATCCGCAATATTGGTGATCAGTAGAGACATATAGCTTACAATATGGATGAGCTACATAATTCAAGTATGTCGGAATTTTTGTATTTGTAATAGTTCACTATGAGTACATTTCTACCAATAAAAAATTCAAACTCACCCATAACGTAATAACCAAAAAACAGAGAATCAATTTTAACCACCGAACAAGCGATTCTTCTTTCGACATGGCCTTTGCCTATTCTTTCCCAAATTTTACAATGCTGGCAGTAAAACTCATAAATCACACATTGTAAAATAAATTACAGCTACCTACTGCATGGTATCAAACATATATATAAACGATTTTGTTATCTACCTTGCGTTTAAAAATAAAATAATCAGAAAACAATAACTTTTATACTGATCCACTATCCAAGACAGCCGAATTGATTAAGTATTTTAAAAGAATAACAGACTGACAAGTATCGGGCACCCGTCCGTCATATATACATATAATGTTTTATATGCAGGTATATATTTATTGGCAGATCACAAATAAAAGCTTGTTTGCACTGTCGCTTATCTTAAGATAGAACCACTTGGTTTGTTACTCAATAACCTGACAATCTCGACGGTCTCGGCGTTAATTAAAGTAAATTTGACGCCAAGTATATTCCTAGCGTACTACTGTGAAAACTCCCCCAAAAGTGGTTAGAACGATCGATGTAATAATTTCATAAAATAACTGAAAAAACAGGTAGGCCACAATCGAAATTATGGCGGAATTTAGCGATTTTTCACAAGCGGTAAATAAAAATAAATCATGTACCTCTCACATGAAATGATAAGTTAAATAGAGTGATTATGTAAGAATATGCAATTAATTTATGCGATAATAAATAGTCCAAACGTTGTATAATACTCGCTATGTTGGTTTATCGTCGAATAAATTAGTAAACGCACTTCATTCGCAGTGCAGGCGCCTTTGACTATATTTGACCGAAGGCTCAATGAAACCAAATTATATGTTATGTGAGCTTGTCTACCGCCTAGTTGGCAACGAATTAGGCGCATAATTACCAACCAATACTGTGTACTATTTCCAAACAACTTGTTAAAAACTGCTCCTGGCCTGGCTTTACTTCTCCCGAGACTTGTTCTGAGTGAATGTATAAAAACGTTAAATTCCTTCTATATAAATTTTAACGGTTATAACCCAAATTTTATCAAAATCCTTGGGTTTGTCCAGAGCCTTGTTCTCAGTAAAAGAATGAAAACTCCTCAAACGTAAATAACGGTTATGAGCTAAGTTATATTCATGATTATTCTGCTTGTCCGGCGCCTTATCTTGAATAATATAAAGAAAAAATTCCCGAAAACGGGAATAATGGCTATAACCATTTTCTAGTCTAGTAAATTTATTTTAATCAAGATGCACTTTTTGAAATGGACGATTTTGGCCGATATTTTTTTTAGTGAGAAAACAATTGTCTTGAATAGCAGACAGGTTGAGTATATTAGCAAATATCTTAAATTCCTATGATGGGTATTCACTGGCAACGTTTTGATCTAGAATTTCACCATACCGAGATGAAAATAATTTGCTTGTTGAACATTGATGTTGAAGTGGTGACAGACCTAAAAGTTCGCTATAATATAGCGAGATAATGTTGAAGGAAACCCAATTCAATATTCGTATAGTCCCGGATTAAATGAGTGTAAAATGTTACCGAATCACGTCTTAAACCTAAATACCAAGTCCTATTATACATACTTTCGTTTTGCAATTCACGAAGATAAAAATGATCCTAGGTAGCTCAAACTATTGCTTCTCAAACATTTATGTACTTTCGCCCCCTTACAACACTCTGAACATCATCACTGCCGCCCGTCCACGCGAAAAAAAACATAAAGTTGCAAAGAAAATTAATTAAATCATAGTATATACATCGTGTTTTTCTGATAAGATGGATCAGCTTGGTGATCTTCCATAAGTTTTTTGATATTTGAAGACATTTTGGTATGGTGCAATCTTTAATTACCCCTTGTGCTGATGGAAAGGCGGATTCTTTGTTTTGAATATGTCATAGCGTCACGTCCGAAATCCTTTTTACCGAGTTTAAGGAGATTGAGGAAAACATCGCGACGTTTCTTTTTCGTACTCTATAAGCGGATAGGGAAAACTGATCGGCATCCCAGTTTTACAGAATTTAACTCCACAAAGGAATGGTAAAATAATTTATATCTTCTTATTTTTGAAGAGAATTATCTCAGAGGAGCAGAAAATAATTATTGCTAATTTTGTTCCACTAGGTTCATGCTGATTTCCCATAGTTTACATGCTGCTCCATCATCTCTCCCTGATGATGCTTCTCTTGCTTTCTTGCATTCACTGTGGTGAGTTAGAAGTGCATTATAATCAATGTGATTTTGAAAATTTATCGAATTATATACTACTGGGAGAAACCTTCTTTCCTCCCACCTAGCGGTTTCTTTGACCGTATAAACATGCAGGGTTTCAAATGCACTGCCAATCAAAAAAACATTGGATACATTTCCTACCACCGCTATTAATTAACAGTTATAGTGCTAAGTTATTGACAAGGATTGAATTGCGTACTGGCCATGCAAACCAACCTGTAATATTTCCCTGTTTCATTCTCCAATTCTGGGGCGATTGCACAATAAATAGTAGTTTGTGCTCCGTGTCTCGGAGTCTTCCAAAAACCTTTTGTTGACTTCGTAACGCATCCAAATAGAGTGTCCCAACAGTTTCCGTGAGTTCCAGCGTATTTCACCAATTTTGTGTTTACTAGGCCTGGATGCACGCAATATGTTGTTACTCCAGTCCCTGGAATAGAATGTCGTTAATTACCTCATAGTGCAACCTTCATAGTGTCGACACCACGAAAGATGAGATTGACTTACAATACTTTTATAAGCCAGTGAGTGGTTACCAAACTGGGGTACATATACTACTCCCCTGGGGCATTTTACCATTTCAATGGGTACTTTAGATTAAGTGTGAACATATTTTTTCTTCTTCGGCTTTAATATATTTTTATTTACAATAATAACAATACAATACAATTACAATAATAATTTTATTTACCATTTACAATACAGTAACTTCAGGCTTCAAGTCAAGTTTTACTTCTATTTTGTACTACGCTTTTGACTCGGAACAAGGCGCTGTCCAATAAGCCATCAAAATGTAAGCAACTATTTTGGAAGTTCTGGAATCTTTCCGGTTCGGCGTTGCCTATCCGATTTATTACACCTTGGGTGCGGTGATGGGCGTGAGATTTGAACCCGACATTTTAACCTTCGACGCAACTTGTTACCGCAACACCATTGTTCCCACAATTGCCTTGAAACACGTCAATTTCAACACGTTTTAATTTCAAGAAATAAGTTGATCGGTTGAAGTACGAAGTCAATTGGCATTGAATCCCTAAAACAATATACGACCGGAAAACTTCAATGGGAAGTATCAAATCCTTTTACAAGGCATGGTCATGTTCTTCAGAAAGTTGCCTCCCAGGATCAGAGTCAAAATGACTTTTTTACTATAGCATGATCCGAATCAAGTCGGGTACAAAATGTTCCCCAACCATAAATAATTCTAATCCTTACCTTCCAGTCTTTTTGCAAGTTCTCTTGAAAATAAGACATTCATCAATTTACTTTGACTGTATGCATCTCTTGCGTTATATGACTTTTTCAAATTTAAATCATTCCAATGAATGTGAGCGTTGTACAGACGTCTGTGCATTACAGACGATAATGTAATTATGCGGCTTGGTGCGCTTGCCTAATGAATAAAAAAGTAGAGTAGAGTATTGATTTTAATCTCTCAGGTAACGGTACACTGCAGTTCTTTATCTGATGCAAAATAAGTCCCAACGCCATACCAATTCACACAGATACTGGTGAGACGCGCATCAGAACCGGTGCGGCCTTACCGAACCGAGTATTTGGACACGAAATGGACCCATGGATCGTTTTGTTATCACTGTAAAAAAAATCGCTTTTCTCTTCAACTAATCACTTTAATTTTCAGTGGTCCAAGCTTCTTGTTATCGCTAGGCTATTACTTTCATTTATTTTAAAAATATCTGTTGGCTGTATCTGTGTGAGATTCGTTTTTTACTTCGAAGTCTTGTATCATGACGTCATCAAAATTAAAAATTGCGTTCCGTGATCACATCTCAGTGATTTGGTGGTCAGACTGGTACCAGTACTGTAAAACATTTGATACTACATCGTTTTGGCTTTCGTGTTCATATGTTTTTGGTGAAATATTGGGTATATATAGAAAGTAATAGCTTTCTAGCGGCTGCGATCATATTTAAGTTATTACTTAAATTAGTTGTGAAAAGAGCGATTACCCCAGCAACAACGACAACAAGAATTTAGAAAAACGATCCATGGGGTTTTAGCCGTGGCTTCATTGATAACATTCATCAGCTCTTTGGTATTTGCAATTCATATTAAGGTAATCTAAATTTGATATATTTGCGGCTTTATCCCATTTTTTGCTATTGAGATACCTTGATTAAGTCGAGCAGTAAGTAGGTTAGTAGGAAGTGGCCAAGGTGATTCACTCCAAAATGCGTCTCAAACCCGTCTTGCGTAGTAGACTGAGGGCACATCATAATTCCTGAAATGAAAATTTGTTAGACATAATAAATGTATGTAAATATTTTTTATGAGATTTTTACGCTGCCTTTTGCTGCAGACTACATGTAGCAGTAAACAATACAAATTGCCTGGCATGCAAGAGATTAATACATTGCAAAAAGCATAGGACATACGTGGCATTTCAGACAGTGTTTACCTGCATTATTAATGAGAATGTCTAAGCGTTGCTCTTCGTTTTTGAAATTTTCGACAAATTGTCTAACGGAGGAAAACGACGACAAATCTAATAAGGAAAAACGTACACGTTGTGACCCCGTCTCGGCGACTATCTGTAACGATACAATTGTATAGTATATATTTACGATTATATATATAAATATGTAATATACAAATAGCCTATATATCTACCATGTTTCCTCAAAAATAAGACTGGATCTTATTTCAATTTTATTCCGTAAAATAGCACTAGCTAGGGCATATTTTCGGGGGATGTCCTATATTTTTATTTATCAAAATTACAAAGTAGAGAATAACGAGATTTTCAAATATGCAAAATATGAAAACCGATATCCATTTACTTATAAATAACACGTTTTTTATTCAAATTAGCTGCAGAACAGATTATTAATCATTCAAAACGTGTAGGAAAGATTTCTTGCTATCGACTGGGACAAAAAAAATTTCCGCGTTATTGACTAGGTCTTATTTTAGGGGGATGGCTTATATTAAAATCATTTTCAAAATTCAGGCTAGGTCTTATTTTCGGGGAAACACGGTTTGTGTGGCACTAATTCAGGTTTTCAGAATAGAACATTTATTCCTATTGTACTATTTGAACAGTAAACCTGCATCGACATTGCGCTGTTATTCCACACAGGCACACAAGATCGCGATTGATTCGGAAAAAATTGCGGTTCAGATACCATACAAAAATATTTTTTAAGATCACTAAAAGTATTCCCTAAAATATATTGGAAATGAAATGACCATATAAATTTAGCAAAATTCCATTAAACTGTAATGTCAACTCGGCAGAGTGATTTATCAGCTCATTAGAGTGCTTTTATACCCGACTCAGACGATACGATACTCGGAATGATACAACTCCGAAATCTGATTTGTGCTTTTCTCTAATTTATCGACACCAGCAGCGAATGGTACAAACCCACGTGTTTGAGTGCGGATTCTCCTCTCCGTGGATCTCGGCAAGCTATGATCAGTTTGGCGTCACGTTCAGCCATGTCCACTGCTGTTTCCAACCCAATTCCGGTATTTGCTCCAGTTATTACAACAGTTTTACCCGTCAATTTTTGGTCGCTGGTTACCCACCCAGACTTTGCTGAGCGCGACTTTGTAAAACTTGTTTTAGTTTTGTTGCGTTCATGGTTATGTCCCGCTTGGGATTCATCCATCGTCACAAATAGCTAGCTATCAAAAGATTTAACGCATAGATATAGAATACGCATATATTGATTCGAAAACAATTAAATATATTATTTTTCCGAATACTACATTCCAATCTATGTATAGTATGTGATATTTCATCATATTTGTAGAGAAATCACAAACTTAACTCTAGTTACCTGTCCAGAAGCACAGTTTTGTGACGTAATAAAGAAAACATGATCACAATCTAATCTAAATCAACTAGCTATAAAACTAATATCGATGGAAAACAACTGTACATTAGTGATTAGTGCACATTTATTCAGTTTCCCAGTAAAATTTGCAGATTATTGACGCTGTCTTTTTCTTGCATTACAAGCTTAAGATGACGTACTGACATATTGCCATTAACGTTGAGGAGTACTTCTTTCGTACTGCTTGCGTATTACAATTACTAAATAACCTGCCTGAAAATCTGATTTAGAAAAGTAACCCCGTCTTCAATTGCTACTCGCTTCATCCGAAACTGCACGCGTACAACGTTCTTTTCTGCGCAATTCTAATTGGCTTGATTTGTGCATCTGCAAGTGCCAATTGAACGAGGGAGGCTGACGTACACTGTGTGCGGACTGACGACAAGAAAATCCATTCTATGTACTGTACATTATATTTTCACGTTATGATACATAAAGGGTCGGCTCTACCACGCATCAATGGCCAGCCATTGTCAAAAACAATAGATTCAATTAGTTCAGGTTACAGTATAATGCGGATGAAAACTGAACCCAAAATCGAGCCCTGCTTGATCATAGGGGCGCGTTTACTTTACAGAAATTGCACTTAGGAAGCCTACAATAGACCAGACCCAAGACTTCTTATCTAATTTGTCCTAAATATATCAAATTAGCTTGTTAGTTCAAATATTTCAGTAATAAAGCACAGGCGACAATCTGTATTTCATGTACCCATGGCCAGCTCCACTAAACATAATTCGGTATTCAATTACTAGATCAGTTACGACGCGGGACAACGTATATAATTTATAAGTATTATAATAAAGTAATGAATATAACGTTATCAATCGAGTGAGATTGACTCGGTCAAAATGTCCCGTGGGAAATTGCGATGAAAAAGAGTTCGATTTATTGACGTTGCGGTGGGCATAGTCGGATAATAAAGGTTGATAATATATATATATATGTGTATTAGTGAAACATCGACCTTCGGTAAGCACTGCTTGATAAAAATATAACTCTCATATAATTGTTTACACATTTTTGGTAGCGTTTGGTTCGGGGTCGAATTTAAGGTGGTTCTGTACCGAATAAAGTGAAATTTTGACGAAGCTCTTTTATTTTCTTGAATGCATGACACACATTCTATGAGGTGTTAAAAAGGTGCGAAGGCGCGCAAAGTGAGAGTTTCGTTATCATCCTCCCCGATGAACTCATTCACAATGTTTTCATTTACACGATACTCTTTTGCTATTTGGTTGATTCTACACGTCCAAAACCCGTAATCGATTTAACTCGAGTTTCTGGTGGTGTAAACTCAACTACACACTATCAATTCGAAAGTGTGGGATAGCTATTTAAAGCTATTATTTTAGGATAAATAACCTTCATCTTGTGTAAGTGTCATCTCTAAACTATGGATCACTGACACCTAATTCTATATATATTTGTATTATTAAACTACTCCCCAGGGGAAACATTTAGTCGTTGTACTTGATTGACTGCGTGTTATAATCATCGTATGTAAACAGCACCATACGTGTAAACAGAAAATTAATCTTCACAAGTATCATTAGCAAACTTCAAAAATTTTGCCAAAGCTGCAATAAATACTCGCGTAATTTATGTCGACAAACCGATTAATTTTGATATACTTTTGGTATATCGATCATCTGATTATTTTCAGTTTTGTTATTGTGGTAAACGGGAATGATAACAACTGTATTTTCATTTTGATCAACACAATAATGGGAAAAACTTCTGAAATAAAACTCTTCTGCATCGTATTATTCCAGGATACCCCCAACATATATAATAAAGATTATTTGAGAAAGGAGAAACGACGGAAGTTTATAGTGCTTTACGGCGCACTTACAAACAACTGTATTTTTATTTTGATCAACACAATAATGGGAAAACTTATGAAACTCTTCTGCATCGTATTATTCCAGGATACCCTAACATACTAAAGAGTATTTGAGAAAGGAGAAACGACGGAAGTTTATAGTGCTTTACGGCGCACTTACACTAAAAAAACTAAATTTTGTGATCGTTAATTTGTACTTTATGCTTTTTAAAGTTTACAAACATGTAGGTCGAAGGAATAAAGGCAAAACGTGTCAACTGTTTTTTCTCATGCACGATTTTCCTTTGAAATGCTAAAAAATTTACTCGTGTTCTCTAAACTCGGATCAGCAGATAAATAAACTGCAGCTCACGAAATTGCAGCAAGTAGTGTCTACCTCATTGTTAAGTAACAATAAACATTTATAATAAATACAATATGTATAATATTCAATCATATTCTAGTCATGTTTAACACAATTCTGTAAATTTTCTCGGAGCACAGGGCAACTCGCTGCGGCGCACCCTTTGGGAACTGCTGAGCTATGACAAAACATTTACAATGTTACTAAACTGTACTTGGGCAAATATGATTTTTAACAACTATCTTTGAGCAATAATATACCTCTCCAATTCACGTTAGGAATCCTATGTCAAATTTTTATTCCCATCGTCTCTGAATATTTTATTTTCAAAAATTTATTTTGATTAGCTAGATTTTCATATACCATATTTCCGTTTTTGGCGAAGATAATCCTCGTAAAAAGACATTTGTAAGCGTGAAGTCTAGTAAAATCCTCGCGCAAAATCTTCCACGGACATACCTGGAATTAATGACAAACGTATTGGACTGACAATGAAAAGTTACAAGATACACCTCGCAGTTCCGACGTACATAAAAACAACGCGTGGTGGCCTAATTGAACTTTTGCTCAATCCAATAAAGCAGTGCCTTGCAATTTAAATAAATCGTTCTGACTTTGATCAGACTTGCATATATATATGTCAGCAAAAATTCGAAATCTATACATGCCTATCTGCTCGAAGCATACTCCTGACATTTATACCAATTAGAATTTTTAATACTTATTCCGAGTATGGAATAAACTGCCTCGACACCCACTGCATAATATATATTGTTTTAATTCTAAAATCTTCAACCCCGCGACAAAATACTCATTGTCCATCAGGCGTAATGATCCACTTGAAAATTGTTTCAACGTTCAATGAGCTCTTTTCTTTTAAATTGGTGACGAGAGCGAGTCACATTTCGACGACTGGGCGAATTTCATTCCAATTGTAATGTAATTGCTATAAGCTACAGCCCTTGCTAACGAGATTTGTCAGTCGAATGAGGGATGCAGTTTGAGATAGGAAATGAATTATATTTCCAACTAACTTTGTAACATCGGTGTTGGTGACCGCACTACCAGATAAACGTTTCTCTAATGGTAAAAACTCCATATGTATGTATGTCGAATATGAAAAATGGCATAAATTTTGGAAACTGAACTTTCATTTGGAAAATTGAAGATTCACCACGAATTGTAGAAACCAAGCATTAACTTGGTAAAATTTGAAATTCACCACAAATGGTACCAAACAATATTTAATCGAATACGAATGATGGAAAGTGGAAACCTAATGCAGGTATGAAAATTACTTCAAAAGACAAAACCAGGACGCTTTTCAATATAATATAAAAACCGAATAAAAATAAAAACCAGACGTTCTTTGGTCGGACATAGAATGTACAACAAACAATAGTGGAAACCGAATGTCGATTTGTCTAATATGAACATTAACATAATTGAGTGGAACCGAACATTGATTTGGTCAACATGAACTCTTATTGTTATAGAAATTGTTGGTACATATTGAATTGACTGTTGTACTATTTTTGACATGTAATAATACGTAGTCTACATCAGGGCTTCCCAAACTAGGGGCCGCGGCCCTGGAAGGGGCCGCGAAACGAATTTTAGGGGCCGCAAAGAGAACACCAATTTTACACAAAGTACCATATATATTGTACTTTTTTCAGACTCTTGATTCGAAATACAATTATTATACAAATAGTGTAAAACAAAGATTTCACGATTCCGAGTGAATACATCATCATAATACCGTGTTTTTCCGAAAATAATACACTGTCTTCAATTTTCTTTCGAAAATAACACTAGGGCTTATTTTTGGGATAGAGAATAATGAGATTTTTTATTATACAAAATATGAATACCGATTTCCATTTACTTATGAATAGCACGTTTTTATATTAAATAACTGCTACATATAGACTTTTAACCATTCAAAAAAGTAGAAAATATTTCTTGCTATCGACTGGGACGCAGTGGTTCTCGAACTTCATCGTATTGTGACGCCCTTCAAAAATATGCTCAAGTTGCGACTCCCCGTGAAAATACGTATAGATACCTTTTAATAAAAGACCTTTTTCGCAATGAGTTTCATATAAACGAACAAACAAAACTTAACGACAGTCAGTGAAATCGCAATTAATGGGCCTTGGTAAAAAAGCCTGCTTTATATAATAAATACGAAATCGCAAAGAAGATGGGAGTGCGCAATGCTTTTTGAACCAAGGAAAAATAATCTTTATCTACAGAAAACTGAATTTCCAGAATTAAACTTTCCTATTATAGCAACATCACAGGTAAGATCGATTTAATCTTTCTTTTTTCCAGTGAAAGTAGAAGATATGGGTTGTTTGAAAGGTTCACGAATCACGAAATTTTGCGACGTCCTAGCAAAATTGAAAAATTCGCGCTATCGACTAAGTCTTTTTTAAAGTCGAGCGCTTATGTTGAAATCTTTTTAAAATTCAGGCTTGGTCTTATCTTCGGGGAAACACGGTAGAATGATGGCGCTTGCATAACAATGCATATTCTGATCGTGAAACCCGATTTGCGGTTTGCATAACAATGATGGCTTTAATAGTTAAGCTAGCGGTTTCCGAAGACGATTTGCTGAGTGCACCTCGAAACATATTACATATCATATTTATTCTAAAT